AAAAAAAAACAAAAAGAAAAAATCTTCCGAAGAGTGCGAAGCGTGAAAAACAAAAATACGGCGAGAAAGAAAAAAGAGAAACGCGCAAAAATTAATCGGTTCGTAAATAAACAAAGCAAGCTATGATTTTTCAATGAATGAAACAACTGGTGATCGGATTATTCGTACAGGAAATCGAAATTAAAGGACATGGAAAAAAAAGGAGTGGGAAAAAGTCGTCCTTCTCGTTGCATTTAATATTTAGAGCTCAATGTGCGACGCGTAAATATTAAATGAATTGGAAATTGCAAATATTTATTTTTAATTAAGAATCGTTTTAATTGCAAAGAAGATTGCTTCAATTTTTGTTTTCTTTTTGTTTATTTCAATGAATACTTGATTTCTTCGTGCAAAGAAATACAGTTGTGACAAGTAGGTCGACTTTACTTAATACTGATTTTGTGGTTCATCAAATTTCCTTGGTAAAGTGCATAAGTATTTTCTTTATTTGACATCCTTCAATGAAGAAGACTGGTTTAAGCTCTTTGAAGCTCAAATCAAAATATTTAACAACTTGCACTTAAAGTACTTGACTAAGTAGACTTGTGTACTATTTTTTTAAATACTTAACAAAGTAGATTAACGTAATCCATCCAAGATTTATATAAGATACTTGACACAAGTATTTTTGAAGTGGCCTTGCAATCATCACATTGAATCAAGTATACTTGCTTCGTAGAAAATATACATTCTAGAGTTCCTTAAAGTTTGAATAAATACTTGACAACTTGCACAAGTATTTGTGGAGTGGCCTTAAAATCATCACATTTGAATCAAGTAGACTTGTTTTGTTGAAAAAAAAACATTCTCGAGTTTCTTAAAGTTTGAATTAAGATGCTTGACAACTTGCACAAGTATTTGTGTAGTGGCATTACAATCATCATATTCAATCAAGTATACTTGCTTTATTAAAAATATACATTATGGAATTCTTTAAAATTTGAATGAATATACTTGATAACTTGCACAAGTATTTGTGGAGTGGCCTTAAATTCATCACATTTGAATCAAGTAGACTTGTTTCATTGAAAATATACATTCTGGAATTCTTTAAAGTTTGAATTAAGATACTTGACAACTTGCACAAGTATTTGTGTAGTGGCATTACAATCATCACATTTGAATCAATAGACTTGTTTCGTTGAAAATATACATTCTGAAGTTCCTTAAAGTTTGAATGAAGATACTTGACAACTTACACAAGTATTTGTGGAGTGGCCTTAAAATCATGCTTCATAGAAAATAAGATACTTGACAACTTGCACAAGTATTTGTGATGCAACGAGTTTAAGGATTAGATAATAACTTATTTAAAATCCATTATAAAGCGTATTATAAAATTACATTGATATCCGAAAAAAATGTGAAAATTGTAACTTTTGTTTAATCCGAAATGAAGAATGACTTAATCTCTCGGTTCACCTAGTTTCCGAGATTATCGTAATTAATAATGCAGACAACAAACAACATAATTAACAGAATTAAGCGTATTGTAATGAAGCCATCCATCCGACTATCTCTTTGTAAATTTTCCCTGAATTTGCGATATTCAAACAATATCTCCTCGTTCGGTCGTCGTATACAAAAGGAAAATCAAATTACGCACGTTTAAACAGATTTTCCCCATTTTCACTCGTCGCAGTGATATTTGCGACTTTAATATTTACCGTAAACAACCGTAGCTATTTGCTCGAGGACGCAATCGAGTGAACTTTTCCCGTTTTGTGAATTTCAGTCTCTTCAGAACTTTGTACAAAATCGACAAATTAAGCAATTAATTTATCAACAATGAT